CACACTTTACTATGAAAAAAGAGAAGAACAGCTTCTGCTCTTATTTGGCTTAGCACAAGGATAGAGCTACAAAATTCGCAAAGTATCAATAAAGAAATGAGAAGAATGGAAGATATGCTCATTCTGTTCATGCATGCACATACTCAGCAGTATCAGAACTAATGCTAAGTAACTTTTAGCCATCTTCTAGGCAACAAGCCTTATGTACCATAAATAGAAAAATAATTCTTGCACACACACATCTATAGGACTGGTAGATCTTTCAAGGTAACTCAGCACACCTTGTTTTTTGTGGTGCCATACTATACCTGTCACTGTTAGTGACATGGGACTTAGTACTAAAGACTGATACTCAAAACTGTTCAAATTTTATGCAAATAAGCCAAGGCTCTATTATTACAAGATGACACATACTTGTAATTAAAACTGATGCTAGACAGCCTAATATCTGCTTTATCTGTCTAATTACAGATACCTTCCAAATGTAAGTTTTTGCAAGAAGTCAGACATTACCTGAAATTTATTTTATGTTGCATTTTGTCCATTTGTTGTGCTTGATCATTTGATCTGAAATTTTAGATAAGCAGAGACCATAAAGTTGAACACTTTATTCAGTTGTTTCAACCAGAGCAGATGTTTCTCAACTTTGAGGTCACAGCCAGAATTATTAGAGGGGGACTTAAGACATTTCAAAACAAAAATTAGTAACATTTAACTCTTTGTTTCCCACAGTGTTTTAGCTGACAGCTAGCAGCAGGAAGGCACAAACATTTTTAACAGCAGCCAGTAACTAAAATCGGGTTTTGCCTCCTTACTTTAGGAGAGCCTAGCCACCAAAATTTAACATTTTCATTTTGATGTACAGAAGTCTTTGCTTCAAGCTCCAGATCCCAGCTCCAGCAGAAAATTTTCCAGCACAGCTCTCCCTCCAGCCGCCACTTGCTCCATCTCATTTGACATGTGTGTGTTACCCTCTATTCGTATACACTATTGGTAAAAGTTGGTAACCTGGTGCATAAGGACTGTGAAACAAACTCAGTATCAAACAAATCAGTGTGGTGGATTGTGCGCCCTGCAGTCTTATCTCAGTCTTACTCATTCCCTCAACTAAAGTGCATTGCATACTAATACTGGAACATTTCCCTTAAAGATACATGAAGACTCATGTGTCATGTTCAATATACTGATTTTATAATTACTCATGTAAAAAACCCATCTATTAAAAATTGAAAAGGTTCATAAAAATGTACAATTAAATGTCATTTCTTCCAGAATAATAATTTTAAAAAATCTTTAGAAAACAATTTGGATTTAGGTATGTTCATACCAGCAAATAAAATATTCATTTTCAGTTCTTTCCTGAATTTTGGCATTCAATAAACCAAGGCATTTAATCTTGCAGAAACTGACACTAAGAATTTCTCCTACTACAATTTTAGCAGTTGCTGTGCTCAGATATAAATAATCAGAAAAACAAGACTGACTTTTTTTCTAGAACGAAAAACAGAACTGGGACTGTTTACAAATAAGACTATTAATCATCCCCCTTTTTTCAGAACCTCCAGTAAATTTGTCACATCACATTGGTGCAAATATTTTACATGAAATGCTCAATATCTAGAAATAACTATTTACAGATTTTTTGCAATAACTATTGCAGATTTTTCTTAAAAGTAAGTTTAAATCACTTACAACCTCTGTATTTTTAACAATATGCATGTGCCAAGCAGTTTTTGTCTGAAAACTGAGCTCTTCCTTCCACACAGCAGAGAGACAGAGGCAATTCTACAGCCTTATCTACAGAGAATACATCTTTTAAGTGCAAAAGGATGACAAAAAAACCTTTTAATTCTAGGTTTATAAAAAAAGCCATCAGGCTCTCTGAAAGAATCGCATTTCCTTTAGCAGCCTCAAGCACAGCAGAGAAACCCTTTTTAAGCATTGTCCTTCTCCAACATGGGCAAGTTTTATCACTGCTTTCAACAGAATGTCAACCCAAGTTTAGGCAGATGAACAGCTCACAACCCAGAGCTTCCAAGTATAAATAAACTCTTCCACATTCAGCTTAGAGCACCAAAATTAGGCTTATGCACCAGCTCTCCCTCAAAAGGCATCAGTCCCTCAGCACTGACCTCTTCTACAACTCGCCACCTCTGACCTTGGACAGCCAGTTTAGCTGTCTGAAGTCACGTAGGCTGTTACCTCCACCCCCCCTCAGCCCAAGTCAGTCACAAACAGATGGTCAGAGCAATATTTTACCACAAGATATAGATGTAATACCTAGAAGAAGGAAATAAGCAGACTTTAGGCACTGTACTCGTGGTCTCTAAACACACACACACTAAAAATAGAAAAAACAACCACAAAAGCAAAAGCCTGAAGAAATGGAAAGCAGACTCATTCCAAAACTTTGTTCAAAAGCCCACACAGTAAATCCTGAGCTCAAAACAATAGGGCTTGAAGTTTAACTTTTGTTACACAGGAAGAAGACACTCTAAGATAAAGAGTTAGTAATTGAAAAGGTCATAGAGACACTGACCACTGATATATACAAGAAGCTACATCATAAAGCAGTTCTGCCTCTGCTCTCTCCTGCCCAGGATGTAAAGTTGGATCAGCCAGACAGCTCGGGAAATGTTATACAAACCTCACAGCACATACAAGCACATCCAGTCAGATTTTGGAGGCCTACAGAAGACACCAAGCTGCCATTCTGAACAGAATATAAACCCTGTGGAGATGATCTGTCTGCTGTAAAAAACTGTCTGCTCCCCTGACTCACTCCCTTCTTTCCCTACAAGAGGAGTCAATTTTGCAGGATACTGGCAAACCAAACACAGCCTCTACAGAACACTTAACAGCCAACACCTTCAAGAAAACATAAAATATACTTGAGTGATAAAAAGTCAAATAAAATAGAGGTAAAGCATCTAATGCACTTGTAGCACTGTTGCTGTGAAAATAAGCTATCCTGCTTCTCAAAAGAGGTTTTCTAACAAAGTCCCTGGGCATATACACTTGAACCTGAAAATCAAGGACCATTTTAGGCTCAACAGCCCCATTAGGTATCATCTATTAGATTGGCGCAAGACAACTTGCTGTCTTTGCAGATTGCACCTCATCTGCTGAATGGCAACAGAAATAGGACCCAATGTAAAAAAAGGCTGCTACTCAAAAGAAGCCTAAAAACCCCACTGTGTTATGTGTTGCCCAGTATCTCAACCATCAACTTCCTTCCATGCTCAACAAAGACTAGTCACACCTGCCCTTCTCACAGGAAGTCACCAGTTTACACAATCCTCAAGTTCAAAGCAATACTTTGAGATCTGATCAACACAGGTTTTAAGCTGTCATTGTTAATACAGTTACTTGTGTGTAGAGTTTAATACATGATGTAGTAATTAAAGGGCTCTGTGCCTCTGACCTCTTATGAGCATTCTGAAGTTCAAGGTTTAATTTGAGGGTTTCACTTTCTGGTTTGTATATTAAATCTTACAGTATACAAGGTAACAGAAAAACATATCAGGCATTTGTTCCTAACTTCAAAAGCAGAGTCTGAAAATAACAGATTAAAAAAGCATTTGGTCTACTCAAATAAGCAACACCCTCACAGAAAATCTGATGCAGCATGACCTAAGTGAACAGTAAGGTGGTTCAAGTACTGGCTTAACTACTGTGCTCAAAGAGTTGTGAGCAGCAGCGCAAATTCCAGCTGGAAACAGTCACTGCTGGAGTAATCCAGACCGTAGTATCTTGTGTCAGTATTGTTCAGCCTCTCCATTAATGGCATCATGGGACAGAGCACATCCTCAGCAAGCTGCAGCTGATCCAAAACTGGGAGAAAGAGATGATGCACCACAGAGTTGCACCGTCACTGAGAGGACCTCAAGAGGCCGTAGAAATGGGACAACTTGGGGTACTCATGAAGTTAACAGACAGGTGGGCAAAACCCTGCACCCGGAAGAAATAAACCTGTGAAGCACAGGCTGATGACCTTCTTCATTCCCTTTCATCAGGTTTTTCCGCACACTGATAAGATCCCCCCCGAGCCTCCTCTTCTCCAGGTCTATCAATCCCAGCAGTCTCTGCCTTTCTTCATGGACCATACAATAGACACATAGTTTGTGCTGGAATGGACCTTTCAAGACCACCAAGTCTAACCCACTGCAATAAGCAGGAACATCATCACAATCAGATCTGGTTGCTCAGAGCCCAGTTCTTGACCTGACCTTGAACACTGCCAGGGATGGAATATTAATCACATCTCTGGGCAACCTGTTCCAGCCTCTTATCATCATCATTATAAAAAAAATTTCTGTATATGTAATCTGAATGTAGTTGTCCAGTGAGACTATTACCTCCACCCCTGGAGACAAAGAGTCTGATAATCCTGGGCAACCTGCTCTAGTTGATCATACCTGGAGCAGTTGCACTAGATCCCTTCCAACCTCAGCTACTGCACAGTTCTAAGATTAAATGGGTGTACAAGCCACATGAGAATGTAACCTTAACTACTTTTCATTACAGAAAACAAAGTTGAAGAAATCAGGCAAAATTAAGACTGCATGTTGCATACAACCGCTAAGTATTTGACAAAGCTCCTGAATTGTAACTCCTTAATTACTCAGTTTGTACAATTAATGTTAGACATAGAATGTAACATGCATTCATCTTTTCTCTCCTCAAGATACAAAATTATAACTGCAGACAATATGTAGGTTATTGAAGAATCACTAATATTGTTCCCTGAAATACTGGTCTTTCCTATTACTACTATTGTACACACAATACTGTGATGGCAGTTTTACCTTTAATTTCCAGTACCTAGCACAGCTGACAAAAAAAATTAACATCTATACCAGGTTTTAATTTGCAACTCTTGTACTAACTAAACAGGAAAAATTGCATTAGTTAAATGAAAAACATAGTACTAAAACACAGTACCCAATCACAAATACTTCTAGCACTAGAATAAAAAACCACACAAAATTTGAACCTACCTTTCTGAAGTAATTTGATCTCTCCATTTTCTTTCTTGATTTCATTCATTAGTTTGTGCTTCTTCTTTTCTTTTTGCTTCTTCTCCCTTTCTTTAACTTTGTCTTTGATTTGACCTGAAATACAAATATTTCACAATTAAGGAAGAACAGAACACTAATTGTAACATACATGTTTCCTATTATTCTTATGCAAGCTCTATTAAGAGGATATAGAGGAGGAGTTACAAGGAAATCCCAGTACTTACAATATGAAAAACTAATATTTATCTGTTGCATAATCCAACATAAGCTTCTTTAACTCAGAAATGCTTTGTTTGTTATGTTGTGGCTCTATGCAACAACCCAGCAAGTTAACTGCATGGTAATTTTTGCTTACTCCTATAACTTCTGCTCTTATTTTGCATCTGCAGTCAGCTCATTTGATCAAATTGGAATTGCATGCATTACATAAGAATTGTGGGGAAAAAAAAGAGTAAAGCATTTTCTTGGGTGCACATCTACACTGAAAACCTCATAACTATCTACACATACTCTGACCTTAAAGGCTTTTGCAAATACCTAGGAAAGATGGTTTAATCTGTCAAATGAAAAATCTTTTATATTACATTCACAGGCTAATGCATCAATAGCAGTCATATACAATTAATAAAAACATGAGACGTGCTGTATTCACACAGATTTAATTTACTGGTGCTTCCCCTGATTACCTACAATCAGCAACAGCTTACCTGAGCAGTCTCATTTTTCATTTACTTTCTTGTCAAGTCACTCCAGGTTTTTAAATCCCTGACATAGAAAAGCAGAGCCTTTAGGCATGCTTTCTGCATGTAAAATACTAGACCTAGAGGAATTCATAGTTTCAAGCAGTCATCTTTGCAAGCCAAGTTGAGATTCAGTTATGAGGCCAAGCACTAAAGAAGTCAGATTTTACTAGGCTTATATGCAGTGCAGCCAGCACTTCACGCCTTATTTCCTGGCCTGAAGCCAGTATCTGCTCAAAGAGTTCACTGGGTTTTTTAACCTCCACAGGGAAAGAGGAAATCTGATTTTAAGCTTCTACATAATGTTATGCTTCAGTAATACAGCTGAGAGACAGCCCTGATGTTTTATTCATAGTACTTGCATTATAAACCCCAAGTGGAAGCAAAGAAATCCAATTATTCTTCCTTAAGCATTCACATAAAATAGAAGTAGTGAGTACGTTCACTACTAACAAATGAGAAATATTTCAGAACTAAACCAAAGAAAGCCCTCAATTCTAGAAGGCAATGTAGAGTGATCCCTAACCAAACTACTCAGGAAGGAACTACTTTATCAACTCATGTTGATAAAGGTGCAAAGAGCTGACAGTAATCCACATAAATGAATGCTCTAACAGTGATTCCACAGCATTCATATCTTTCCTCTGAGGAGTATTCTAATGAGGCTACAGAACTTAAACCCTCACAGTTCTTAAGAGTGAAGCAAAGGATGTATTTTAGGGAGAGTCATAAGGAAATAAGTCAAATAAAAACAAAATAGATGGCAATCGAGAGATGTCTGTTGCCTCTCCACAGATCATAAGCAGCAGGGAGAGAGCAGCACAAATATACTGGCACATACATAATAAGGTAGCTGCACTTAACAGGATGTTTTAGTTCTAAGTGACTGAAACAGCCATGTCCAAGAACAGCCTCCTCCTAACACTTCTGTGGGAAGGGATGGATGACAAAGCAGATTTTTGTGTAGAGCAGACCATGGAAACCAAACAAGCTTTCCTAAGCAACACAAACCTTTCTAGGAATACGTTAAACAGACAAATCTTCCTCTCCAACCTATTTCTTCCCAAAAAGGAATCTCTAATTTGTAAATCCCCTGCAATTTGAGTATAAAGTTGGGTAAATGGTACAACAGGAGTTAATGCAACACTCCAAAAGCAGACACTCAGCTAGCAGGCAGTAACACCAGGCTTGATTTATAACCTTGGCTGAATGATCAACTCAGCCAGAACTACAATTATCATGGGAAGACCTAGATTTTATCTCAACTTTTTTGTGTGGTTAAGAGGAACACTTGACTCCTGCTATCACTTACAAATCAAAGCAAGATTGAAGAGCATATACAGATGTTGAGTCTTGCTGAAAGAGGACAAAAGACTGAAAGAACCCTTTACTGCCAGCTCATGAAAATAAGGCAAATCAATCTTCCAGTTTTGTCAGAAGCAACACATAAAGACAGAGAACCTTTTAAAGAGCCTCTAGTTTATTTTCACATCTACAAAGCAATTAGAGTCAATGGCGAAATCTTCCCAACAAAAGAAATCATGAATGTGCTCTGTAATATCCCCCAGCAACAGCCACAAGTAAATCGTACCAATGTAAATTCAGCTGAGGGAACTCTGGAGTAAACTTTCCCTTCTAGAAATCAAAATATCATAACAAAACCAGTGTAGAGACTGATGCAAGTAAAAAACAGTTGAGAAGCTCAATTTGAATTTACAGATTCTGATTTCCTCCTTCAAAGCCCACAGAATAGCTTAACAATAGCCAGTAGTGCACCTTAGAAAAAGCGTAAATAAATACTTAAATTTAAAAAATCTTCGCACATTGAAAAACCCTGTCAAAATGAGAGTTAGTCCATGGATTAACACTTGAACTTAATTCTCAGTTGAAATGTCTTAAGTTTCTGGGTAAGTATTTTCTAGTCTGGCTTGCAGAATTCAAGGAACTGTCAAACAGAATTCTGCAGATTGTTCTCCCCAGCAACATCCAGAAACATGAACATTCACCATAGAATTCCTACTTTAAAACTAATACCCCCAATATTAAGCAATTTACAACCTACATATCACAGAATAAATAAGCATTGAATGACACTGGCAAAGGAAAACAAGAAAATCTTGTTCTGTTGAAGTTATGAAAACCTGGAATGTTCTTGTACAGCTTTTTTGAAGTTTACCAGCAGCAGCTACTACTGGTCTCCATTTCATTTGTAGGGCAACATAGTAAAAGGCAGGAAGTTTATAATAAGCTTTCCATGTCCACAGAATATTCTGCAGTTAGCTTCCACCAAGACTACTCCTAACAATAAAAAAGAAAAATAAAAAAGCTTTTTGAGCTGCTGTGGATGAAATGAGCCTCCACAGAAATAACGCAGCCCAAATACAGAGGAGGGAAGGCCTTTACACACCTCCAAAGATACCAAAACTAAAAGCCAGCCATTTGAAATTTGTGCCCCAGGGCAAAAAAAAAAGAAATCTATGTTTTCATTACACTTGTCCCACCTATTTCTCCAATGTGAGTCCTGCCAGTGGGCTGCAGCTCTTCACAAACTGCTGCAGTGTGGGTCCTTTTCCACGTGGCCCACTCCCTCAGGCACAGCCTGCTCCAGCGTGGTGCCCCATGGGGTCACAGGTCCTGCCAGCAAACTCGCTCCAGCATGGGCTCCCCTTTCCACAGGGCCACAGGTCCTGCCAAGAGCCTGCTCCAGCAAAGGCTTCCACGGGGTCACAGCCTCCCTTGCACATCCACCTGCTGCAGGATGGAGTCCCCCAAGGGCTGCAGGTGGATCTCTGCTCCACCATGGAGCTCCCTGGGCTGCAGGGGCACAGCTGCTCCAGCAGGAGCTGCCCAGGGGCTGCAGGGGAACCTGCTCTGACACCAAGAGCACCTCCTGCTCCACCTCCTGCACTGACCTGGGAACCTGCAGGGCTGTTTCTCTCAGATATTCTCACTCATCTCTCCAGCTGCAATTGATCCTGTGCAGTAACTTTTTCCCCACTCTTAAAATACATAATCCCAGAGATGATTACCACTATCTCTGGCAGATTCTCACAGAAGCCACCCCTGTATCTCCCCTGCTACCAACACCTTGCATGCAAACCCAATGCAACTCTACTAAATAAACCAGTGTACACTTCTTAAAATACAGAGCTTTGTAGGAATAAGTATCCCTGTTTAGAAAAAATACAACACCTAAGGAATTAAGAGATTTCCACATCTTATTCAAATTTACAGTAAGGAGTGTCACCATAAAGTCCATAGTCTTTGCTTTGCATGTTACAAGAACAGTACACCCACACCCAAACGAAATGCTGCAACAGCAGTACATTAAAATAAAACAAGTGCTACATAAAGACAGGAAGACTGTTATGGTGTGTGCATCTCACCTTTCCAAAAGGCATCTGAAAAATATTTTCACTTTACAACAACTCTACACAATGAACTGAACTAATTAAGAATTATATGCATACTTCCTCTTCAAATTCCAAAGCTACTTTTTCTGAATGTTAAGTACATAAATAAAAAAAATGGATATATACTGTATTTATACATTAAATAGCCATTTACAACTAAAGGGTACAGTAAAAGTTCTTCGTTTCCCAACTCAGGAGATACCTTCTCACAATGATGGTCACAATTCCCTAAGCAGTAAATACAGGAACACGAATTCACAGATCACACCTGATTTCAGAAATCTAATCAGATCTTTGCCTCTACTGCAAGCTTTCTACAGACAAAAAGGTAAAAAGAGCATAGAGAGTGAGTACTAAGTGGGAAGTGCTCTTTAGTGGATGGACTGTGTGCAAAGTGGTGGCTGTCACTTGGGAAATTTGCACCTTAAAGTCCATGCAGGAGCTCAAACTCCTCAAAGCTAGTCCATTTCAGCACTAAAAGAGGAGAGCTGTACAGCCCTGTCAGATGCCAAAAGCTACAGCTGCTCTGCATCATTTTCCAGATGGTAATTCACATTAGCAGTCAGTCATAGATTATGTTCAAAGTACTCTGCCTCTCTCTCCTCTGTTTGATTTAAGGGCTGTCACTGCACATGAGGTGAAATATTTACAGACTACTGCTAAGGGACACCATCAATATGGATAACACCACCAGCAGTGTAACTGAAAGGAAGGGGGAGTAAGGAGGGGCATACAAGAACATCAGTTCCCATCTCTTCCATCAGCACCCTCCTCACTTTGAACAAACACCCATAAAACCTCAAGAAGCCATGTTTAACTGGTTATGCAGGTACATGAAGTATATTTAACATCACCATGTTAACACTTCTGACACCTGCACTTATTAAATCCTACAACGTACACTGCAGAGCAGGTTGCCCAACTTAAATGAACGTGGAAA